TAGAGCAATTGAAATTTCATAATTACAACTGTGTTATATATAACCTACTGAGCAACTGAATTTCTTATGGTGAGGTCAGGGCAAAACCCATTGACATTCACAATAAATGCTACAAACATACTTTCAAAAGTACACAATTTTTAAAAAAAATTAAAGAGCCTCTCCCTAAACTTCTCTGTTGACAAATGTAGCTTTTTTGTTTTGCCAAGTTCACTGCTACATCTATTATACCAGAATATCCAAGATTTAGATCAGGATTTCCCCATACTCTGTGGAACCTTGATGGTAAATGAACACACTCTATTTCTCTCCCATACATTTTCCTGGAATCCATACCTTAGCAGCATTAATATTCCCAGCCTGGACTTTTCTTCCAGACTCACGTTTTGTGTTTTGACCTAAGATGAAAAAGAGAAAAGGAAAATAGCCTCATGCTCAAACTCAAATTACTGTATCTCATTCTGGAAGGCCATCATTTAGAAGCTGCAATTACCCAACATACTAAATTGGCTTAGCTTTTATTCTGATTATTTTGGGGGTGGCTTAACCTTGTGGGTCATCCCTGCTACTGGCTGGTTTAGGGTTCCTGTGTTGCAAAGCCAGAAAACCTAACCATATTCAATGCATGTACAGGTAGCCCTCAATTTACAGCCATTCATTTAGTGACTGTTGGAAGTTACAATGGCACTGAAAAAAGCAACTAATAACCATTTTTCACACTTCCAACTAATTGCAGCATCCCCCAAATAATACATGATCAAAATTCAGATGCCTGCCCACTGTTTCATATTTATGACAATTGCAGTGTCCTGTCATGGAAACACCTTTTGTGACTTTTGATAAGTAAAATCAATGGGGAGATATTCACTTAACCATATTACTAATTTAATAATAACTTCAGTGATTCACTTAACAACTGTGGCAAGAAAGGTTGTAAAATGGGGCAAACATCACTTAACAATTGTCTCACTTAGCACAGAAATTTTGGGCTCAATTGTGGTCGTAAATCGAGGACTACCTGCATTCCTTTTACTTATTCAGTAAAAACATTCAATTAAATAATTGTCTCCAGGCTGCATCTTTACAGATTACAATTCCAGGACACTTTGGGAAGGGACTCAGTTGTCCCTTTACAATTTGCACCTTGCTTAAGGCTCATTTCCCAAGGCTTACTCTTATTGTTCTTCCCTTTTAGTACTTCAAGTCTCTTCTGCTGATGGGACACTCCGTATTTCTTCCTCCCTTATAGCTAAGTCTATGGTTCCTCTGCATCCCAATAATTTCCAGAGGATGGGTTATGAAACTCTAAGACCCTCAAGAGTTATTGGTTGAGATGGGCAGCTATGGAAATTTGATTGCCTGGCTGAATAACAAAATAAAATCACTTCCAGTAAAATTAACAAGGTGGATATGTTCACACAATCTGCACCCCTTGGTTCATGAAGGAGAGGAAGGGCAAGAACCTATCGACTTGTCATGTTGACTGACAAGCCAACCCCACTGAAAGAGTTCACCAAGTAGACCCAGAAAATGGATTACTTCAGGAATAAGGTGACGGTGAGCCTGACATTTTCACAAACACTGATCCCAAAGAATCTTCCTCCTGGCAACCGGGCAAAAGGGTGTGGATTTATTCTCCATAGAGCCCAAGGATATGACAAGAAGCAACAGGTGGAAGCTTTACAGAAAGAGATCCAAACTCAAAATAAGAAGGAATTTCCTAACTAGGAGAGCTATTAAGCATTGGAATACAGATACTGGTAGCCCTTGACTTACAACCACAACTGAGGCCAAAATTTATGTTATTCGGTTGTTAAATGAATTTTGCCCCCTTTTACAACTGCCCTGGACACAGTTGGTATGTGATTCACTGCAGTTGTTAAGTTAGTTAACATGGTTGTTAAATGAATCTCCTTTCCCCATTGACTTGGCTTGTGAAAGGTCGCAAAACATGACCCTCAGACACTGCAACCGTCATCACTATGGGTCAATTGCCAAGCATCTGAATTTTAACCATGGGGATATTGTAATGGTTGTTAAGGGTGAAAAACAGTCATAAGTCACTTTTTTCAGTGCCGTTGTAACTTTGAACAGTCACTAAATGAACTGTTGTAACTTGAGGTCTACCTGTATCAAGTATAACTGTTGTAACTTGAGGACTACCTCTGGAGTGCTCCATTACTGGAGGATTTCAAGCAAATGTTGGGACAGTCATTGGGATGGTTTGAGGATTCCTGCCTGGGCAGGGGATGGACTAGAAAACCTCTAAGACTGTTGAGACCAGTCCAATAAAAGCTTCAGACCCAGCCCTGGTCAGTCATTTATAGGCAGTCCTCAACTTACGACCACAATTGAGCCCAAATTTCTGTGGCTAAAAGAGACCGTTGTTAAATGATTTTGGTCCCATTTTACATTTCTTGCTATTGTTAAGCAAATCACTGCATCTGTTAAATGATTCACATAGAATCTGGCTTCCTCATTTACTTTGCTTGTCAGAAAGTCGCAAAAGAGGATCATGTAACCCTGGGACACTGCAACCATCATAAATATGAACCAATTGTCAAGCATCCGAATTTTGACCGCATGACCAGGGGATGCTGCAACAGTCATAAGTGTGAAAAATGGTGCCAAGTGACTTTTTTCAGCACCGGTGTAACTTCATCAAAGTGAATGGTCACTAAATGAACTGTTGTAAGATGAGGACTACCTCTAGTCTTCGGTTTACAACAGTTCACTTAGCGACCGTTCAAAGTTACCGCGGCCCTGAAAAAAAGGGACTAATGACTATGTTTCACACTTACGACCTCTGTAGCATTCCCCACAATCATGTGATCAGAATTCAGATGCTTGGGTCACGCTTTATGACCATCATCACCTTTTGCGACCTTCGGACCAGGCAAACTCAATGGGGAAGCCAGATTAGATTAGAATAGGATTTAGAATAGAATATGGAATGGAATGGAATGGAATAGAATAGGATTTAAATAGAATAGGATTTAGAATGAAATGAAATGAAATGAATAGAATAGAATAAATATGGAATGGAATGGAATAGAATAGAAAATAATAGAATACAAGAATAGAAAATAATAGAATACAAGAATAGAATAGAATAGAATAGAATAGAATAGAATAGAATAGAATAGAATAGAATAGAATAGAATTAGAATTAGAATTAGAATTAGAATTAAAATAGAATTAGGACAGGACAGGACAGAACAACAGAACATAGTAGAATAGAATTCTTTATTGGCCAAGTGTGATTGGACACACAAGGAATTTGTCTTTGGTGCATATGCTCTCGGTGTACATAAAAGAAAGGATACCTAGAATAGAGTAGAATAGAGTAGAATATGGAATGGAATGGAACAGAATAGGATTTAGAATAGAATAGGATATAGAATGGAACAGAATGGAATAGAATAGAATAGGATTTAAAATAGAATAGGATTTAGAATGAATAGAATAGGATTTAGGATATAGAATAGAATAAATATGGAATGGAATGGAATGGAATAGAATAGAAAATAATAGAAGAATAGAATAGAATAGAATAAAAGAATAGAATAGAATAGGAATAGAGAATATAGTAGAATATAGAATTAGAATAGAATTAGAATAGGACAGGACAGAACAGAACAACAGAACATAATAGAACAGAATTCTTTACTGGCCAAGTGTGATTGGACACACAAGGAATTTGTCTTTGGTGCACATGCTCTCAGTGTACATAAAAGAAAAATAAAGTACACTCATCAAGAATTATAAGATACAACACTTAGTGACAGTCAAGGTTTACTAATAAGCTTATCATTAATAATCATGTTAAGATAGTATTAATAATACTAACAAGTTCGTTATTCACACTTAACAACCGCCTTACTAACTTTATCAGGCCGCAGCGATCCGCTTGAACCACCGTGGCAAGAAAGGAGGTTAAAAATGCGGGCAAGATTCAACTTCGTGGCAAGTGCCTCGTCTTAGCAACCGCTGCGGTCGTAAATCGAGGACTACCTGCATCGAATTCCCCCCCCTTTTTTTCGGTATTTTTTTTCCTCTCACACCTTTTGACAATGTCGACGCCCCTCTCTAGCCCATAGCTACCTGTGTCCCTTAAGAATGAGGCTAGAGTCGATTTCTGTCGGGGTTTTTTTTGGGGGGGGGGGCGGGGGGGCCCCCCCCCAAAAAAACAAGGCTGAGGTATTTGGGGGGGGGGCTGCCTCGTGGGGGGGGGACGACTTTCTGAGGAAATTGAGCGGAGACTGAGGGAAAATGGATTTTCCCAGCATGCAATTGGAGCGAAGGGCGCACATGAGGGGCGAAGGGACCCCCCCAAAAAATAGGATATTCTGAGGGAAAAGTTGAGGGGAAAGATATGAGGGGGTCACTCGGGGAGGGGTCTCTTCTCTGCCCCACCCTCCCCAGCCCACCTCCCTCCTCAGACTCACTGAGAACGAGGACGGGGCGCTGGCCCAGCATCTTCCCGGCGAGGCGAGGCAGAAGCCGGCGAGGAACCTTCTGGAGGCGGACAAAAAAAAAGGAGCTCGGAGGGCGGGGGAAAAACGCCGTTTCACCGCGCTCAGACAACCTATCTTGCCTGTCGGGGCGGCTCCTCCAATCCGCAACGCCGCTGCCTTCAGAGCGGCCAATGAAGGCGCGCCTGCTTTAGCGGAAACTCCGCCCCCCCTCCCCCTCGACGACAGCAAGGTACGTTGAGAGGACAAACGGATTATCCTCCTCCTTTTAAAGCAAAGCATGCTTGGGCAGGGCGCCGCGGGAGGAAGGTCGCACGCATGCGCAGGTCCCCGCCCGGCTGCGCCTGCGCACGAGGTTAGAGCCGTCCGCGCGGGAGGGTGTGGAACGTTGGAAAGGCAAAAGGGGAGGCAAGCGCGCGTGCGCACAAGCGGTCGTTAGCGGTTAGGTGGATGAGGCCTTCTCGGCGGCCGTTGCAGTTCCTGCCGCGCTTCGTCTCCGGGCGGCCGCACCCGAGAGGCGAGTTTGGGGAGGGAGGCCTCTGCCTCGCCTAAGCCCAGACACGTGTGTCTTTCGCCTCAAGGAACATCGTGGGAATTACGGTCTGGACGACGAGCCGAGTAACAGCGGCCCGGCCCCGCCCTTCATGCAATGAGGCATGACGGGAATTGTAGTCCGCTCTCTAATTCTGACACGTGCTCTATGGTTACACGTGCAGAATGGGGAATCTGCACACTGAAATCAGCTGATTAATTTTATGTTTCTTTTTTCTAGGGATTACAGGCTCCTAAAAAGGGAATTTTACTGCATGTGCAATTTACCATGTCAGTTTCAACATTCTAATACCTAATAGTAACAGAGTTGAAAGGGATCTTTGGAGGTCATTTAGTCCAACCCAGGAGACCTGTACTAGGGATTCGAACTGCCAATCTTTCTGTTTGACAAGCTCAGTGTCTTAGCCACTGAACCAAAGGTGCTTTTGTTCGAGAGGCAACCGGACTTTCTGGTTTTTCTTTGAAGACGTTTCACTTCTCATCCAAGGAGCTTCTTCATACTCTGATACATACAACTCTTAATACAGTGTTTCTCAACTTTAGCAACTTTTAAAGATTGTGGACTTCGACTCCCAGAATTCCCCAGACAGCTGTACAATTCCAGCTAGTCCTCAAGTTACACCGGCACTGAAAAAAAGGGACTTTATGACCATTTTTCACACTTAGAACCATTGCAGCTTCCCCATGGTCATGTGATCAAAATTCGGACGCTTGGCAACTGGCTCATATTTATGACCGTTGCAGTGTCCCCGGGGGGTGGTGGTCATACGATCCCCTTTTGTGATCTTCTGTCAAGCAAAGTCAATGGGGAAACCAGATTCACTTAACAACCATGTGACTAATTTAAGAAAACGTAACTTTTGACACAGAGCTCAGATTTGCAGAAGAAACCCATATTCATGTTCCCCACGGTCTGAAAAGCACAAAAACACAATCAATTTTCAAATGGAAGCTTTCCCTGAGGAGTTATACCAAAGTGTATCTCAGAATTGGCAGTAGGGCTCAATTCAGCCAGAAAACGAAACTTTTGACAGCGATTTACACAACTGGTTGTAAAATAGGGCAAAATTCACTTAAGTCATTTAGCAACATAAATTTTGAACTCAATTGTGGTAGCAAGTTGAGGACTACCTGTATTGCCCATTTGTTTCTTCTCCCTCCCTCCCGATCAGTGGCAGAACATGCAAGGAGTTAAACCGAAACTGATGTATCTGACACTTGGTGTGGTTATCCATTGTTTCTCAACTTTTGACAATGTTAAGATATGTGGACTTCCAACTCCCAGAATTGTCAAAAACTTTGTCAAAGTTAAGAAACTGAGTTAATCTGAGGTTTAATACGTTCAACTGATCCAGAGAGTTGGGTTAATTCAGTAAATGTTCATTTAAACACGGGTAAACCTGTCATAGAGGGATGCAGGGGCTCAGTGGCTAAGACGCTGAGCTTGTTGATCGAAAGGTCGGCAGTTCAGTGGTTCGAATCCGTACCATTCTGGACCAATGGTTGTCAAATCTCTTCTAAAAAAAACCTCCAGTGTTGGGAGTACCCACAACTTCTTGGAGGCAACCTGTTCCACTGATTAATTGTTCCTGACAGTGAGAACAGTCAATAAATGGAACGGCTGGACTTCGGAAGTTGTGGATGCTCCCATCACTGGAGAGCCACTTACCTGAAATGCTATAGGCCAGGCTCTCCTTTTTTTAAAAAAAAAATTGATTTATATGTCACCTTTCTCAGGAGACTCAGGGCGGCTTACAATGCGCTAAGCAATAGCCTTCATCCTTTTGTATATTTTATACAAAGTCAGCTTATTGCCCCCACAATCCAGGTCCTCATTTTACCTACCTTAGAAAGGATGGAAGGCTGAGTCAACCTGGAGCCTGGCGAGATTTGAACTTGCAGTAATTGCAGACAGCTGGTGTTAATAATGTTAATAACAGTGCTTTAGTCTGCTGTGCCACCAGGGCTCTTCTTGAGCAGGGGGTTGGACTAGAAGACCTCCAAGGTCCCTTCCAATTCTATGTTCTATGTCTCTCTTCATTGGATGGCTCTCCCTTTTTCTAGGCATGAGTTCCAGTCCTGTTCAGATGGAGCCAGACTTAAACCCCCAGGAGGAGAAGCAGCATCGGAAAAGTAGGTACCCCGCCCCACTCCTGACTCTTCCCTGTGAGCAAATGCTTAAAGAAAGGAAGTGGTCCAGGTAAATGATGCATCCCAGGAGTGGATAAATCATCAGGCCGCATGGCTTATTTTCCATTCAAGCCACTCCCAGCCTGACATCCTCTGAAGGCCCTGGACTTCAATTCCCACATTCCTCAACCCGGTCACCTTGTGAGGAGGTGGAGAAGAAGCAAAGTGCCACATCGTTGTAGGGCCCCAGGTGTGGAGATGGAGAAGGCTGCAGATGAGATTTCTCAGTGGCTCAGCTCCCATATCATCCTAACCAGGTTTATTTTAACCATAGATTGTTGAGTAAGCCAGTGGCTAGATTACTATATCAGGTACGCCACAAAGCTTGGCTCATCCAGGCACAATGTCTGGGTTTAACATGCTAGATCCACATTTTTATGTTTCGAATGAAGGAGCTGGAAGGGACCTTGGAGGTCTTCTAGTCCAGCCCGCTACTCAAGCAAGGACAACCTATAATATTTCAGATAAGTGACTGTCTCTAGACTCTTCTTAAAAACACCCAGTGATGGACCGCCCACGATTTCTGGTGGCAAGCTGTTCCACTGGTTAATTGTCCTCACTGTTAGGAAGTTTCTCCTTCATTCCAGGTTGCTTCTCCCCTTGATTAGTTTCCATCAATTGTTTCTTGACCTCCTTTCTGGTGCTTTGGAAATTAGGTTGATCCCCCTCTTCTTTGTGGCAGCCCCTCAAACATTGGGAGACTGCTATCATGTCGCCCCTAATTCTTCTTTTCTCTAGACTAGCCAAACCCAAATCCTGCAGCCGATGTTCTTCCTATGTTTTAGTCTCCAGGCCTTTGGTCATCCTAGTTGCTCTTCTCTGAACTTTTTCCAAAGTCTCAACCGAGTTTTTTGTACTACGGTGACCAAAACTGGTTGCAGTATTCCAGGTTTCTTACTAGGGTTTAATAACGTATAACATATACAACATATAATATATATATATATATGTTGTTTATCTCTGTTCGTGCCGAAATAAATGCTTATCTATTAAGTTGATAAGAAAAGCAGTACAAGCATCCATGACAATTACTTTTCCTTTCCAGGTGCTTCAAGAAGATCTTCACAAGTCCCACGTAGGTGTTTAAACTTTTGTTCTGCCATAGTCGATTTATAACCGAAAACTTAGTGAAACAATTTTGTTGTATATATAATGTAAAATGACCATAAAGGCTATACTAACTGCTTTGGCTATGGAGAATTGGCCAGTAAAACACTCAGCTCCTTTCAGTTGCCCAGACTATTCTTAATTCATTTTTCTCTCTCTCTGAACAGGAGAAGACCTCGACGGCCCTCCAGCCACATCTTTTAAGCCTCTGTGTCCTGCTAAGCCCTCCCCGAGTTTTCTCGAACTGCCCTCGACTCAGTGGAGGCCCAATCCACTCCTGCCGCACTCCGGGGCGTCACGGACAGGGAAAGGAAAGCGCCATTTTTGTAAGGATAGTCCCGCGTGCGAATGTGGGTAGCTGAAACCGTGGAAGACAGAACGCAGTGCTAGCCAGCCCCTTTCAGCAGCGCCATGCCAGTCAGGCCCAAAGTTTTATAACAGACACACAGCTGGTCCTCGACTTACGACAGTTCCTTTAGTGACCGTTCGAAGTTACAACAGCACTGAAAAAAGTGACCTGCACCCATTTTTCACACGACCGTTGCAGCATCCCCCACGGTCACAACTGATTCATATTTATGACAGTTGCAGTGTCCCGGGGTCACGTGATCCCCTTTTGCGACCTTCTGAGAAGCAAAGCCAGCGGGGAGGCCAGATTCACTTAACAACCGTATTGCTAGCTTAACAACTGCAGTGATTCATGTAACTGTGGCAAGAACGGTGTTACAATGGGGCAAAACCCACTTAATAAATGTTTAGCTTAGCGGCAGAAATTTGGGGTTCAGTTGTGGTCGTAAACTCGAGGAGTACCTGTTTCTGGCTGCCAGCAGTTGCTAGTTTGTTTAGTTCATGCTGTCACGCTATCCAGGGTGCCCCACAGGGAGGGGAACCAGCTTCACCGCCTGCGCTTGAATGGCTGGATATCCTAGAGTAGACATTGGTGTTTGAACACAAATCTTTTAACATTTGTATTTTATTGTGTTTTACGAATCTAGGTGAAATCTTAATGTATATTGCTGGCCTATCTAACTATCATCTATCTACTGTATGTATGTATGTATCTACCTACCTAGCTAGCTATCTACTCTGTATCTCTATCATCTATATTTATCATCTATATCTGTCATATCTTTTTATCTATCTATCATCTATATTTATAGCTATATTTGTCTCTTATCTGGCTCCATCCATCCATCCATCCATCCATCCATCCATATCTATCTATCTATCTATCTATCTATCTATCTATCTATCTACCTACCTACCTACCTACCTACCTACCTACCTACCTATCTATTTATCATCTGTCTACACGTACATATATCTAGCAATATATATTAAGATTTCACCTCTAGTAAAACACAATAAAACTATATATATATATATGTGTGTGTGTATGTATGTATCTACCTACCTACCTGTATCTCTATTTTATCATGTTTCTATCATATCTATCATCTACCTACCTACCTCTCTTTATCATATTTATTATCTATATCTGTCATATTTATCATCTATATTTATATCTATATTTGTCTCTAATCTGTCTCTTTCTATCTATCCATCCATCATCCATCTATCCATCTCTATTTTATCCATCCATCCATCTCTATCTATTTTACCCATCCATCCATCTATCTATTATCTATATTATTTATATCTATTTGTCTCTGTCTCTTATCTGTCTCTAGTTAGCTACCTATACTATCTCTATCTATCTATCTATCTATCTATCTATCTATCTATCTATCTATCTATTATCTATCTCTATATTATTTAGATCTATTATCTGTCTCTAGTTAGCTATCTATACTATCTATCTATCTATCTATCTATCTATCTATCTATCTATCATCTGTCTACACATACATATATCTAGCAATATATATTAAGATTTCACCTCTAATAAAACACAATAAAACTGTATGTATGTATGTATGTATGTATGTATGTATGTATGTATGTATGTATAAATACATACAGTACGCACACTAAACAAACAATAATGTACTTTTTGGAAAAGCCCCAGAGCTTTTCCTGAATTTGTTGCTGAGGCGGAGACCGGGATGGGGGGCTGCCTGCTTGTGGGACCTACCTCTCAGAAAGCCAGTCGCCCTTCCCCTAACCCCCTTCCCCGCCTTCTCTCTTCCAGCTCCAGACCACGAGCCGCAGGAATGCTTCGGCCTCCTTGAATGCCTCCACAACAACATGCAGGTGCAGACCCAGATCGCGCAGGAGCAGCTGGCGCTGCTGCAGGACATCCGGGAGTCCATGAACCTCCTGGTCTCCCAGCAGGACCAGCAGAACGGAGAGCTGCGGGGTCAGCTGGGGCAGCACATCCCCAGGGACCCGGCCTCCTCGCCCCACCCGGGCAGCTAGCAGGGAACGCTCGGGCCTCTCTCTTCCATGCAGGCTGTCTGCGGGCAGCTGCGGGCCTCCTGGGCAGATGTTGCTCAGCAAGTGGCGGTGCCCACTATGCAAGATTTTGTGTCGTGGGATTGACTGGCAGCAGAAGCTGTGCGATGCAAATAAAGCGCTTGTTGTATTTTTGCTCCGTGGCTGTTTTGCTCCAAAAGGCACTTTCGATCCAAAAAGGCACAAGATCCTTTTGCTGGGTTAATTCTGAATTAAGTGAATTTTTGTGAAACGGAACACATTGAGAGTTTGGTCTAGTGCACCCGGCTAGAAACCAGGAGGCAGTGAGTTCTAGTCCTGCCTTAGGCACGAAAGCCACTTGGGTGACTTTGGGCCAATCAGCGGGAGACGGTGAGTTCTAGTGCCATCTTAGGCACGAAAGCCAATTGGGTGACTTTAGGCCAATCACCAGGAGACAGTGAATTCTAGTGCCATTTTAGTCACGAAAGCCAGCTGGGTGACTTTGGTTCAGTCCCTTCCTCTCAGCTCAGCCCACCTCACCGGGTTGTTGTTTTGGGGAAAATAGGAGCGGGAAGCAATCTTAAGTACATCCACCTTACCTGAATTATTTATTTTATTTTATTTGTTTTATTTGTCCAGCATGTATTAGATAACAGATATAAGTATAAACATGATTATGAATACATGAGATGGATGCGAATAAAAGGGGCCATTAGGACAGGGACGGAAGGCACGTTGGTGCGCTTATGCACGCCCCTTATAAAAACAATAAAGGATAAATATAAAATAAATAAAGCATGGGGCTCCCAAAAGATAGGCAGGCCTAGCAGGACAGCCACATCCGACTGCAGCATATTGTGCAAATGCAGGCTAAGGTATTTTTCCTGTAACTGAATCTGGTGGTCTGTTTCTAGCCAAACGCTGATTTTGTTGCCTGCATTTTAATGTCCAGATAGTCCTCGACTTACAACAGTTCATTTAGTGACCGTTCAAAGTTATAACATCACCGAAAAAAGTGACTGATGACCGTTTTTCACACTCGACGACCGTTGCAGCATCTCCCCGATAGCCACGTGATCACAATCCGGACGCTCGGCAACCGACTCATATTTATGACGGTTGTAGTGTCCCGGGGTCAAGTGATCCCCTTTTGCGACCTGACAGAAAAGTCAGTGGGGGAAGCCAGGTTCACATAACAACCGTGCGACTAACTCAGGGGTCAGCAACCTGCGGCTCTGGAGCCGCATGTGGCTCTTTCACTCCTCTGCTGCGGCTCCGTCGCTCAAAATATGCGTCCCAACCGCCAATGTGCGACACCCGCTGGTACGCGATTTATTGAGCTTTTCAACCATGGATAAATCCAAGAAAAGAAAAGTTTCAGAAGAAAACAGAACGTTTAATTCGACTACGTATGCTAGTTTTGTGGCCGCTCAAAAAATAGTCAGGCACAGGAAGGGTTTTTGTGGTTCCTGGTGTTTTCTGTAGGAAACAGGTCGAAATGGCTCTTTTGAGTGTTTAAGGTTGCAGACCCCTGGATTGAATAATCGCAGTGATCCATTTAACATCTGTGGCAAGAAAAGTCGTAAAATGGGGCAAAAAAAAAATCACTCAATAAATGTTCTGCTTAGTGATAGAAATTTTGGGCTCCGTTGGCGGTCATAACTCGAGGTCCGCCTTCATTGACGGACTGCCATCTGTCAGAAATGGGCTGTCAGACTCCTGAATGCCAAATAACATCATAACCACGTAGTACGATGGACTTGCAGGGCCGGCGTAATGTGTAACATGTTCACACTGGTTGCAATAGGACTGGGGGTTGTCAATATGATTTATTGGGTTAGGGGTTTTCTGTCTTTGCTGTGAGTTGTATTGTGTTGGGGGTAGTGGTGCACCGAGGGAGCTCAACCAATCTCATTGTGCATAAACGTTGTTCACTGACAATAAAGATTTGAAGTTGAAGTTGAAATTGAATTTGAAATGGTATAGGGCAGGGGTCTCCAAATTTGGCAACTTTAAGACTTGTGGACTTCAACTCCCAGAATTGGGAGTTGAAGTCCACAAGTCTTAAAGTTGCCAAGTTTGGAGACCCCCGGTGTAGGGTTTCCTGCTTGAGCAGGGGGTTGGACTAGATGACCTAAAAGGTCCCTTGCAACTCTTGTTATTCTGATTTTTTTTTCTTCCCAGTTTGGGTTGGTTCTTTTTCTTTCTTTCTTTCTTTCTTTCTTTCTTTCTTTCTTTCTTTCTTTCTTTCTTTCTTTCTTTCTTTCTTTCTTTTTCTTTCTTTCTTTTTCTTTGTCCTTCCTTCCTTAATTCCTTCCTTCTATTTCCTTCTTTCCTTCCTCTCTCTTTCATTTTTCCTTTCCTTTCCTTTTTCTATTTTCTTTCTTTCTTTCTTTCTCTCTCTCTTTCTTTATTTCCTTTCCTTCTTTCCTTCCTTTTTTCTTTCCTTTTTCTTTTTTCTTTCTTTCTTTCTCTTTCCTTTTCTTTCTTTGTCCTTCCTTCCTTAATTCTTTTCTTCTATTTCCTTCCTTCCTTCCTCCCTCTCTCTCATTCTTTCTTTCATTTTCTTTCTTTCTTTCCTTTCCTTTTTCTATTTTCTTTCTTTCTCTCTCTTTCTCTTTATTTCCTTCTTTCCTTTCCTTCCTTCTTTCTTTTTTCCTTTTTCTATTTTTTTTCTTTCTTCCTTTCCTTTCCTTTCCTTTTTCTATTTTCTTTCTTTCTCTTTCTCTTTATTTCCTTCTTTCCTTTCCGTCCTTCTTTTTTCCTTTTTCTTCTTTTTTTCTTTCTTTCTTTCTTTCTTTCTTTCTTTCTTTCTTTCTTTCTTTCTTTCTTTCTTTCTTTCTTTCTTTCTTTCTTTCTTTTCTTTCTTTCTTATTTGGCTTTAGATTTGGAGAAAGTAACCTTTCTTTTCAAAACCAGAGGCATTTACCATTGGGAATTGCTCTCTTCCTTGACTTTTATGAGGTGGGGGTGTGGGGCGAGGAGGCGCCATCCTGAGCTGAGGGAAAAAAGGCGCTGGGCCCCAAAGACTCCACCTCCCAGGGATCTCCGCGGCAAAGGCAGGAAGCACGTGACGCTCCGGGGCGGGGCCTCAAGCCACGCCTCCGAGCCAGCCGAGCGCTGACGTCCTCTTCCGTTCTGCTGGCAGCTCGCAGGAGGCGAAGGTGGGGAGGGGGCTGCGCGCTCCAGTCCAGGGGGTTTATTAATGGGGAGGGGGAGAGAGGGTATTATGGGGGAGGGGAGAAGAAGGTTTGTTTGCTTGGAGAGGGGGGAGGAGGGGGAAAGCTTTCTGGGGTCTCTGCTTAAAGAAGACCCCCCCCCAAAGAAAGAGCCCTGGGAATTGGAAGGGGGTCCAAGGGGAGAAAATATTGGGTGGGTGGGGTGGGGGGCGCTGCCTAAATACTACCAATGTTGCTCTTCCTTGCGGTTCCACCTTTTCTCCTTGGCTCCCAGCCTCAGCTCAGCCAGGCACCCTCTGGTTGGGTAGGACTACAGTTCCCATCACCCCCAACCAGAACCTACCCTCCTTTGCCCCCCCCGCCTTGCTCTGATTGGGTGGGATTACAGTTCCCATTATCCCTAACCAGAAGGTACCTTCCTTTGCCCTCCCTGCCTCAGCTCACCAGGCACCCTCTGGTTGGGTAGGACTACAGTTCCCATCACCCCCAACCAGAAACTATTCTCCTTTACCTCCTCTCCACCTTGCACCCCAGGCACCCTCTGGTTGGGACTACAATTCCCATCACCCCCACAACCAGAAGATTCCCTCCTTTTTCTCCCCTGCCCTGCCTTGCACCCCAGGCAACCTCTGGTTGGGTAGGACTACAGTTCCCATCATCCCCAAACAGAAGAGAGCCTGGGGGGGGGCAAAGAAGGAGGGTGGCCATTCCTTGATTGTTCTTAAAATTCTTCCTTTCCAACCGCCGCCAACGTATAATTGTGGTTAAGGTGGAAGCTGACAATCTGACTAGGAATCAGGGTTTCTAAGAAGCCTTGCTGATGCTTTAATCACAGCACCAAACCGGCTCTCCAAAAGTTCTGCTTTCCATTGGAGCTTAACACTGTGGACATCTCCTGTGGTTTTTTTCTGGGCACTGATAGGGAAGTGGGTTGCAATTGCGCCCTTCCAGGATGTATTTTGGATTTACCAATTTACCCTCTGGGTCTGGGATTTCCAAAGGCCACACCTAGAGTCCTGCATCCAGTTTTGGTCACCACATTATAAAAAAGATGTGGAGACTCTAGAAAGAGTGCAGAGAAGAGCAACCAGGATGATGAGGGGACTGGAGGCTAAAACAGACGATGGACGGTTGCAGGAACTGGGCCTGGCTGGTCTAGTGAAGAGAAGGACCAGGGGAGACAGGAGAGCATCTTCCAGTATTTGAGGGGCTGCCACAGAGAGGAGGAAGGGGGTCAAGCTATTTTCCAAAGCACCTGAAGGTCAGACAAGGAATAATGGATGGAAACTGATCAAGGAGAGATTCAACCTGGGAATAAGGAGGAATTTTCTGACAGTGAGAACAATCAACCCATGGAACAGAAGTTGCCTTCGGAAGTTGTGGGAGCTTCATCCCTGGAGGCTTTCAAGAAGAGATTGGACTGCCATTTGTCAGAAATGGTGTAGGGTCTCCTGCTTGGGTCGGTGGGGGGTTGGACTAGATGACCTCCAAGGTCCCTTCCAACTCTGTTAATCTGTATTCCTTCCAGATGAAGCTGCTGCTGCTTGTCTTCCTGGGGGTCTTCTCTTCCGTCCACTGTGAGGAAGGGGCTAGGCTTCTGGCTTCCAAGGCTCTCCTGAACAGATACGCCGTCGAGGGCCGAGATCTCACTTTGCAGTACAACATCTACAATGTCGGTTCCAGGTAATTCGTTCAATTCATTTCTTCCGCTTGGGCCAGTCCGCTTTCTTCGCCGTTAAGCTACTGAAGGTGGAGAGCTGACACACGCCCCACTCTCCCCTCTTTTTCTTTGTGCCTGGTGTGACCCAGGCCCACGTAGTTAACATTAAATGCAAAACAGTTCCAAAGAACAAACAGATTTTATTAGCAAAACGGGTCAACATTCACTTATTTATTTATTTTATTTTATTTAATCAAATTTCTATACCGCCCTACTCCCGAAGGACTCAGGGCGGTGAACAGCCAAGATAAAATACAGATAATACAAATATTAAA